GAACACAACCTAGACAACTTGCACATTGGTGAATACCTAGCTTTATTAGCGTCGAGGGTGCCATCAGCTCAAATAGTGACGGCAATATCGCTCACTGTTACGAAAATCGGTACTTGTGCATTGCCAACGGAAATAGCCAAATCAGCACAAGGCATGGGAATGGAGAAGGAAGATCTCATGCTAAAATTGAGTTTGAGTTCAAGATTAGAGAAGCCGAGATGAGATCGATTCTCAATCGAGGTCGATTGGAGGAGGGGCTATGAAGACGAGGGGTTACAGCAAGCAGGCAGGCAGGGTAGATGCATCTTTGACTGCGCAGTTTTCAAGGGTACCCCTGCTACAGCATCCCGCCTATAGGAAGATGTTTAGCACCTTGTACTACAAACCTAACCCTTCATGGGTAAGCAGGTAGGTACTCCTAGGTTCCTTAAGCAATACCTCTGTAGGTTGAAGAATCAAGAATCTGGCCCCTTCCTGTCATTTACGAGTCGTGTAAACCCTAAACTGTGTACTTAAAGCCATCGTTTGAGTCAAAACGTTGGATTTCAGCTGTGACATGCAGCTGGGCTTAACCTAGGCTAGCTCAACTATTAATGGTTGTGTGTAGTGGGGGGGCCGCTCACAACTAACGATGACAGGACTACGATGTTGGTATGTCACTGGAAGAGTTCTAGAGCTTCCCAGGAACTATACGACCTAAAGCCACGGAGGAGCTTTTCCACGAAAACCACTCGTGGAGAGAAGCCAAGGTTTTCTTTACTCGAAACATTTCTCGCATTTATGCTACTTTCATATAAGCCATAAGACTAGCGCTGGATGACCGCAATCACTTATATAGAGTATGTGAGCCTTGCTTGGACAAGAAGGGACATCTTCGACTGGGTGGACTGGTTGCAGCATGATATTTTTGAGGCACGTCCTATTCGAAGAGTTGATAGATTAATAAAAAACTGTAGTCTTACCCTTTGGTCACCATAAAAAGACAGCCACCGAACCTGCACAAATATCTTCAGCTCCAAATGAGGTATGATGAGGTACCTACCGAACATACATACAGCCATACAGCCGAGATAAGCAGCTTCCATCTGCACTGTAACCAGATCTACCCATGGCTGGCTAGTAGGCAAGCAGCGGCACTTGGCGGGCCAGATGCCGATCAGATCAGCCTGACAGTATGCAATGCAGAACAAGGTAGGGCAAGACGAAACCTGGTAGGCATCTAACCAATCGCAACACCAGCCTTCCCATCCATCTCGTCGTCACGAGAGGGAGAAACCACTCACTCCGACAACGACCTCCCCGACAAGCATCAAGGATGACCGATTGGTAAGGTAAGGTAAGGTATCCTGAAGCGTTGAATCCTACTTGGGTTCCGTTGCTTCTTGGAAGACTGAGCCTGAGACTACCTAATTAAGCGACCTGGACCTGGACCTGGATTATCCGCAGGTTCATGAACCCCACTGACCCCGTTACTCTTCACTCCATCTCAGGCCGGTCTGTCAAGACCCCAACTAATGGTCCGCCCTCCCAATTAGATTGGGTTTGTCTATGAGCGTGCACGAGTCGAGACTATGACGTGAGATTTATATGGCTTTTATGAGAACGAACAACTCGTATAGCTGAGGATCAAAACCTCCTTGCCAAGACGCTCCTCGACCTGACATTTGAGGGAACAAACAATACATCAGTAGTCTATACCAAGCGTGCCTACGAGACCCGATGATTTTCGGCTCTGCATCCATCAAGCAAAAAGATTCTCTCACAGGAAGAGGCAAGTGGAGCACAAGGCGATGCCTTGAAAGAATTCCGAGTGGAACTGTGGGCGCTTGACCACTACCCCTCTACAATTTTACGCCAGCTCCAGCTGGTCGGTGAGATAGCTTGACGCACTGGCGATCGTTCCAGCTTTCAAAGGGAGGGGGGCCTTTGAGCCGGCCCTGGCGCGGCATCTGATGGATGGGTGCGGCTGTTTTGAGCTTGAACTTACAAAATGAAGAGTGACGAGGATCCCTCATTCCAGAGCCCTGGTGCCCGCCAAGTCCTGGGGTTGGTCCGTAGTCCGTGGTCCGTGGTCCGTGGTGGTGGATTGATGGTGGGTGCGCGCGACTGGGGGCTTAGATCGCATTCTTAGGGAAATTTCCCATGGGATCTTCAGATTCATCACCTTTGCATGGCACACAGACTCTGTGCGAATCTTGTCATGTTGTTCGTCCACTCGGCCCAGCTTAACAGGCCATCCAAGTATGTCCAAGGGTGTCTCTACCTGCGAGCCAAGCCAAGCGGCTCGAGCAAATCTCCTGGCCTTGATGATAATTCAAGTTAGCAAGCCAGCACCGTGGGCTCCTTGTCATCGTCACCCTCTTGAAGACGAGCAGTCACAACTTTGCTTTTCTCTGTTAACGCCTATCACACCCCCCAAATCCTGGCCAATTAGATGCTCAACCGCCGGCCCGGTCTATATCTCCTTGCCGCTAATAAAAAAAAGAGCATTTCTCTCACATTGCCAGTTCAATTCGGATTTCAGTCGGTCGAAAGAAACCATTTTTACGAACGGTTGTGAACGAGAACAGATACTGTAATACAGAAATAGCAGAAAACCAACGCCACCTTTGACTTGTTTGTTCTACAGTGTCTTCTCTTGTTACTGACCGAATGAAGGACGGCATATTTGATCCCTGCAACAAGCAGCGACTTTGAGGTTCAGGAACAGACCAAAAGAGAAGATCCAAACAAAGAAGGCCCCGCCTCCATCGATATGGCCCACAGTCCTGCTCAAGGGCGGCGCCACGCACCTCCCTGGCAAGAAATGGCAGCTTGAAGACTCGCAGGTAGTCGATATGACAGGTCTGATGCTACCACCGCTGGGCCCATTATGCCCACCGAGACTACGGTAGGTTGTGCACGCTACTGATCATCGAGTCAACGAGAGCATCATCCTTGTGTCAGGGTATTGCGTACCTGTCTTGTCTTTGAGCAATACCCATACTTTGTCTTCGACCCCTTGATTTTACCCTTCCTAGGCCTCCTCAGTTCATTTACACACTATTGCTAGTCCTCGAAAACCATAAATCCCTTGCTACCCCCACAACTTCAACAGCTCGTGCCATTCCAAGCTTTATAATACATTGCTCGTGACTTTAACTTTTATTATATATTGCCTACTCACAGAGTCATTCTTCTCTTGCACCAAGCCGTCAACCCAAGATACAACCTCCATCATGGCCCTCCATGAAGACATTCTACCCATCCCCTCGCCATCCATGCTGTCCCATGGAGACCAATACCAAAACGCAGCCTCCTTGTTGCAGCCGGAACTAGGATGTAAGGCTGTAACCGAAACCCTCAACTCTGCTGGACCTCGGGTCTTGTACAGTCCTTTCAGAGCTCAGAAAGTTCCTGGCACTCGATGTCCTACCTGTGCCTTAGCTGGCAAAGAAGTTTGGGTAATTCCTGGCCGCTGCTGCGGATACTGTGGAACTCCTTGTGTCGACTAGATCTATCCCAGGGTCGAGGTGAGTTTACGAGAACCTCAAAGGAACATGTAACTAATTAACCCAGTTTTGACTGCTTCTACCCTGGTTCAAAGCTTGCCCCGAAGCACAATGCCAAGATGTTGTTGAGCACTTCTCGGCGCTGCGAACCACAGGACTGTGGATCTCAAGTGTCAGCTGAACATGACATGAGATACGGATATCCTCTTCCCTTTTTCGTTAGCATGGATGGGCAAGAAAGTTTATTCCGACTAAAGGGATCTGCGACAAGTCAAGAGTGACACTTGCTACAGCACTTCAGTCAGCTCACGTCGTGAACTGAAAGCTTCCACGACCTCTGATCGGCACAGCGGCACTCGGACCTGTTATTACGTCGTCGTCGAGTATGTCTTAGAATGCTAGGGCTTAGGGGTATGATTTGGGTCTTGACAGCGATGGTCTGCCACTCCCCTGTAACTCAACGGGCACTTTAAAACTGTGCTCGTGCGAATCACGGCAATCTCCGAGTCATGCTTAAAGTTGATATATGATATGATAGAGGGGGGGAAAACTCATGGGTCGGTCCAACGCATTGCCATAGGCCAGTGCAGCCCAACCAGGATGTCGGGAGTGACTTGGGTCAGCCACCTTGTCACTTCGCTGAATCTCAGAGGGCAGCCACACGAGGTGCATCAGATAATCGAGAATCATTTACCGATGGCTTTACTACGGTCCAGGATTAGTTGCATAGCCCAGCCGATTCGTGGATACGCGAAGGATTTGTCACAGCACTCCAGTAAGAGCTACACGCAATAATCGTCATTTTTTTTGTAACGAGTATACCTTCATAATATCCTAACTTTTTGTGTGAAGTCAAAGATAAAACCAAGATTGATATGTGACTCCTCACTTTGGCATCCCTGTCTATGGCTGGCTAGTAGCGACCCAAACGCAACTATAAGACAACGGAAAATACATATCGCTATTGTGTGATCACCTCTGTCACTAACCAATCCTAGCTAAATGTAGTCTTGGCATTGAAGTGAGAAGTACACTGAGACATACTAGGGTTCTGGACTTTCTTCCCTGTGCTGAAAGGAGAGAAATCTTCATCAAGTGGCTTGGGTGACGCAACGAGGGATGCTAAGACATCACCTTTGACAAGTGCAGTACGTACTGACTTACCAGTCTTACCCGGGCCGTTGGCACGGGCTAACTTGTTAGCGAGATGCCAGCGGCTACTCTTAGGTCAATGAAGGGAGTCACTTCAGCTGTCAAAGTTTGAGGGCGACGCAAGGGGTAGCTAAGGAAACTCCCCTGATCAGCCTCATGTTTACCGAACTAACATGGAGGAATGCGTTCATCCCAGGCGTAAAGCTCAGTGTTGTGTTATTCTGAGTTTAGCTGTACGACACTTCGCGCCTCACCGTGACAATGTGATCAATACATACGTGTTGCGGACTCGGGTCCGATCACTAGATTCCATATTTCCCGGCTCCGGAAAGTGGGGCTCGACATCCTCAGCTCCTGATGGTGAAATTGAATTGCCGCCACTCGCTGGACAGCCGCGAACCCCACCAAGATCTATTGACGCTTGCCGCCCATCTCCCGCCCCCCGCCCCCTCTCTTCCGAACTACAGTACAACGGCATTGGATTGTCTCGCGATCCCCTCAACAGTCAGTCAGCGATCCCTGCTGCCTTGGCTCAAACGACTGGTTTCTTCTTCCAGTCCACGTCCGGTTAGCCAATTGTCCCGCGGCCAGAACGGCACAGCCCGGCTTGGTCTGGTTTTGTCTGAGGCGACGGCTTCGAATCCAATGGCGGCCACGGAGCAGAATGGCATCGACATTCTTTGCGATGCCGCCGGCTCAGACATGCTCCTTTCGTCCCTGTTCTCCCTCGCAACGCCTGTGTCCTTAGCTGATTCGAATCAACGGGCTCAGCCACCCTTGCAGCAGGAACACCATGAGTTGCAGCAGTCACTGCCTCCTGTGTCGCCCTCGAAGCATCAGATCTTTCAGCAGCAGTTGGATCCCGCACTGCAACAACCCCAAGGGGAAATATCCCAGCGAGTTGCCTCTACGTTGCCTGCCAAGAGAAAACTTTCTGATGCGTCCGCCTCATCGCCGTCTCACGTCTGCCATATCTGCCGTCGCGTCTATGAGCGAGCCGACCACCTGACCAGACACCTCAGGTCGCACGAGAATGCCCGGCCGTACCAATGCACCCGATGCCCCAAGCGTTTTAATCGCGCCGACCTCTTGACACGGCACGAGACCACACACGATCGAGATGGCGCCGCAAAAGACCGCCCGTTCATCAGAAGAAGCGACCGCGCGGCCGAGGCATGTCTCAATTGCGCTGCTTCCAAGGCAAAATGCGAAGATCAGAAACCGTGTAGCCGCTGCCGTAGTAAGAGTTTGGCATGCCAGATGCCAGTGAGACGTGGGAACCAATACCGCACGTCTGAGTCGCAGGCTGGTATGTCGCCGTCGGACAGTTCAATGGTTGCCTCAACTACAGGCAACGACAGCCAGGTCTTTACGGCCAGTGAAGCTACCTATGCTTTGCCCCAATCAACCATTGCTAATCAAGGTCCCGCCGCCGATGCTGCCGTCGATTACAGCGTCACCTCTTCTCTCGGCGCGCCCAGACTTGAGGATTCACCTGGGGAATCTTTGTTTTTCGCCGCGACGCAAAGCATCTTTCCGGAGATTGAGTTCTCTTGGGATGTAGATTTTGGCTCGTACAAGATTCCAGGCTCGGGTGTGGCCGGACGAAATCCTCAGTCTGGCAATGCAGGAAAACGCACATCACACCAAGGCCGTAAAGATACTGTCTCGGTGGACGCACTCCTTCAGCGTTCAGTATGGTTGTATGAGCCCGAGGCCAATGGTCAGGCAGGGAGCCTAGTGTCTCGCTCCGATATCGTTTCACCCTACTTACGCGACAGCATGTTCGCCATGGTTCTTGCCAACAATCCGACTCCACATCGAGTACCAACATTCCCATCAGCTGAGTTATTGGGCTTCATGATCGAGACGTACTTCAAAAGTGAAGACCCCAAGAGTGAGGCTTTTATTCACAGATCGTCATTCGATCCCTCGACAAGCAGCCAAGAGCTTTTCTCCGCCGTTGTCTCAAGTGGGGCTTCATGTATATCTACTCCGGCTATATGGCAATTCGGCCTGGCTCTCGATGAGATCACGGCAAGTGTCATTGGGAAACGAGTAAGTATGGACCATGGTGTAGCGATGGTGAGCCAAAGATATTGGCAAAAGGTTTACCACATGCTGACTGCAAAACAGCTTGAATCTTCATGCCTGGCCGTGCGAGATATCACACTTCTTCAAGCGTCTGTCCTCCACCTTGAAACTGGTCAATGGAGTGGCTTCAATCGTCAGGCTGAGATGGCAGAAAGCTTTGCGCCCCAGCTTTTGACTGTAAGTCTATTGTGATTATGAGTCTGGCTAGCAGACTAATCCCGAATAGCTGCTTCGAAAAACAGGGAAGTTGAGCTTCACGTCAGACTTGACTACACATACGCCCAACGCTGGCGACTCTCTTGAGGCACTTGAGTCGAAATGGCAGACATTCACGACAATTGAATCTTACAAAAGGTTACTTATACTACCATGCCGAAGTCGCTAGCATACTAACTAGCGTACAGGTTAGCCATCCGTACATTTCTCCACGATATGCAAACATCGATCGTGTCGTGGAAAGGACCCACGTTAGCATACAGCCAGCTCGACTTCGCACTTCCGGCGGCCCGTGATCTCTGGAAAGCTGGTGATTCCCAGATATGGTGGGACTTGAACTTGGCCAAGGGATCTTTCCCTCCTACCGGTTTCCCTCGCCTTTCCGATGTGAGAGACTGTCAATTTGTCATGACTGAACAGAACACGTGGGTGGACACAGAATCTTGCTGCAAAACTGCTCTGCATGGGCTGTGGGGACAAATCTGGACGTACCGTAACGCCATCGCTCAATGTCATCACGCAGCTCCAGACCGGCCGGGATCTAATGTTCCTGAATGGGCACGCTCTCTTTACCAGGATCTCTATGAGGGCCTTCGTAAGCTGTCAACCCAGCTCAAATCTGCACAGACACCAAAACCTGAGCTATCGCTTCTTTCAGACTTTTTCATGATGATCATACATGTCTCGTTGGACGACGTACAGCGGCTGGCGGGCAGAAAGGGCGACGAAGAATCTCGCAGAGCAATGCAGTTATTAGAGAGTACTTGGCTACCTGGACCAGAGGCCCGGTATGCTGCCTGGCATGCTGGACAGGTCCTCCGGCATGCACAAGAGTGTATACCAACAACACTGCGAGGATTCAACGCTATGGTTGTTTACCTTGCTAGTCTGACGCTGTGGGCGTATGGCTTGCTTTCGCAGAGAACAGCGAACGGCGATCAAGGAATGGGACAAGAAGTCTTATCACTTAATGAACCAGAGACGAGGGAGACGACCCTTTTCCTTGAGCTTGGTCAGGGCGCCCCATCACTTTCGTCTCCAGAAGGGTTGCGTCTTCAATTAGAGCCTGTGTCGAACTATGTTGCAGTTTTGTCGCTGGCAAGGCTCATATTCCGACAAAACTACCCTGTAGCGAGTGAGGCAATGCCTCCGCTTGTTGAAAGCTTGTGTCGACAACTTGGTGACCTCCAAGGTGGATTGGAGGGGTACGTGGTAACGAAAACGTTATAGACAGCGCCTTTTGTCAGGAAGGATATTATGTGCGCATTGAGGTATTTGCAACAAAAGTGATTTTTATTGTTTTCATACATAGCAGTTAGCGAAGGAGTTAAGTAGGAAAGCAAAAAGGGAAAATAAACGGCAAAGGTCTAGGGTTAGATGAAGAGATCAATGGAGACAGTGATTCATCGAGATGGAAGGGGCAGAAACGCAGTATAGGTAGGGTTAATCGAGTGCGTAGTCGACAGCTTGGTTATCATGTTTGACTTTGGCTCTGGACGTGTTAGTTACGAAAGAACTGAGAAAAGAAAGCAACGACAGGAGGTAATCGTCCTCTAAATCGTATCCCACAATGACAGCACAAACAGTTGAGTCAATGCTAGCAACAGTGAGGTTGACTGCCAAGCCCAGAAGTCTAGGAGATTGCCAATGTGCCTTTGGATCTATCAAACACACTCATCATTGCTAAAGAGGTTGGTGTTGTTGGACTGAGGAGTACATTTTCGCTTACTAGATACCCAGACGCAGTATAGCCTGATTGGCATTCATGCACTATGCATGGCGCAGGATCTAGAACAGTTCTGTGCCTGGAATAGAAGGAGGAAAGCGACGAAACTGGTACTCTTTTCGTCCATGTCATGTTCATTACAGCGATAAGGTTAAATCTGCTGACCACTTAGAGCTGGGTGAATCTGGGGTAATCCCTGAGCCGACTGATCTACCGTGCACCGAGGTTTCAGATCCATTGGACAACACAGATGGAAAATAATTGTCCCGCCAATATCGCCTCACAGATTACCGGCTGTTTCGGCCCTATGTGCCCTTTGTTCATGGCTGAAGTTGGAGATTCATTTGACAGCCCGGCTCGTGGGGAGCATCAGTGAATTCCGTTTTTGCGGCATAAACAACGGAATGACTCGGGCTCAGGTGCGGAAACAAAACTCCATAATCCCAAGTACATACATACTCCGTACTTGGTTGTAAGAAATAATGAAAGATGATTGGTTGGTATCTGTTAAAAAGCAACCTCCAAACATGGGGTTCATCTTCTAGGCTATGTGGGCGGGGATAAGCTCCTGAGCCGCCCCCGCGTCTGGCCCGCATGAAACCGCCTCACGCATTGTCTTCGTTAAATACTACTCAACTATCCAATTCGGGCATTGCTTACCTTGACACTGCCCTCATTGTGCTTCTCCGAGCTATCACAAGATCATATATGAACTCGAGGCTTGTCTGTCGAGCTCTCACCTTTTCTTCTAGCCGTATCCCCACAAACCCCGCACGAATCTCGCAACACATCAAAGCCGTATCCAGACCTTTTACTCAGATCCCTACCGTCAAGATGGCCAACCGTGTGCACCGAATCACCATGTTCAAACTGCCAAGCAAGGACGAGCAGGCCAAGCTTCTGGACCAGTACCACAAGCTCAATGCCTCTCAGCAAAAGGTGAGTCGCCTCAAGTCGTATCTTTACTTGTACATACCTGATCATCTATCTGCTCAAGGATGGCAAGCCCTATATCCTCTCCATGGTTGTTGGTGCTGCCGATGAGGATGCTCGGTCTCAGGGATACACCTTTGTCTCCAAGACCGAGTTCGCTAGCATGGAGGACATGAAGTATTATGACGAGGGTTGCCAGGCTCACCAAGCGCTCAAGGACTTTGTCAAGGGCTCGCTTAACCCTCAGGGGGTTATGACTGTCTACTTCAAACCCCAGGCTGTCGGTGGCGCCGATCACTCTTCCTGAACAGGGAATCACGAAGTAAATCGAACAGCTAATATTCCTTCATACATGTCAATAGATTGAAGAGTTCCGCAAAGTGGCATATGTACGTCCCTAACATGAATATTCACCCGTGAACCGAACTGTGAGCATGATGGCGTGGAAAGCACAGAACGAAGCCCATTTGTCTTGACTCTGGAAACATACGCCATTTGCGGCACCAAACTGTCTCAAAGACGGCTTGCGTTATCACGAGGTCTCTCAAAGAACCCCCGATTGCGGACTTTCGTGCATGGCCGACTGGCCGAGGAGAAACACCAAGTTTGTAGTACAGCAGTAACTGCAGTCGGCGGCTCTAGAACCAGTTGATTCAGCGTTGTGTTCTACGCAAGATGGGGCACCAGAGTAGCACAAGGGAGCTATCTGCTTAAGAATCATCATAAGTGACCGAGACTTGTCTGGATGCCTTTGTCTTCAGGTACGGGAACCATCCATTTCGTAGTCATTTCAGTGGCACACTATGCAACAGCGCTTTATCGTCTATTTTGCAGTCGAGCGTTTGAGCAATGAACCATCAGCTAACCAGCTATTGAATTCTTTCACTGCTTATCGTATTCAAAGAATATGACTATCTAAAGACCTATGCTAACAGAGCTCTGTACATATGCCACCGTACGCCGCGATAACCAGAATATCTCAACAGCCATGTATGAGAAAACCTACAAGCCTGTAAACTAACGCCAGATATGCCACCCAAAACCAAAACTAACTTGTTCGCCCCAGGATCGATCTGTTTGGTATCGAATGTAGTGCTGCACAATAAACTTCAAAGAATGATGTGAATCAGTCTCAGGCAGAACGGCGTATACTAGATATATCAGTCATCTCCGTCGCAGATTCACTGCCTCTTCTGGAAGAAAACTGATCTTTAGGAAAAGCCGTCAACCTTTCCAGGGGCGCCGGGTTCCTTTCCAGCGAGAAAAGAGACAAAGCTACCATGACGGCACACACGAGCATCATGACCTTAATTTCTTCTGCAAACGCACCGGCATAAACATCCCGAACTAAGTCTTGTAGATGTCCCGGTAGTTGTAAACTTGTTAGTGGTGATCGGTGGAGACTGGCGAGTTGAGCGGGTGTCAAATGGTCCTGGAGATATACATTGACGTGGGAGTTGAAAATGACAGTGCAAACCGCAAGACCAATGCAACCGCCCAAGACACGGGACTGTGCTACAGCACCTTGTGCAGAGGCGAGCTCACTCCGCTCAGCGGCGAGTATACTAGTCATGATAGTTGCGGCAGAAAAAGAGAGACCGACGCCAAGCCCGAAAATTGCTTGGAAGGCATATTGGGCTTTACTATGTGAGTCTGGCCCAGTCAACATTGACATTAGGCCGACTCCAAGGAGCTGTAGGCACGATGCCCCCAGAAGAGTCAGGGACGTGTTGTTTCTCCGGCTCGAAATGGCACCCCCAAGAAACGAACCAACAGCACAAGCGCCAAGCATAGGGAGGATATGCAACCCTGCCGTTAGGACTTCTTCACGGCTGACAATTTGAAATCTTTCCGGAATGACGATAGAAAGTGAGATATAAGGAAACCCGGTGAATAAAGTAACCCTAATTGGTGTCAGCTGGGATCATGGGCATATCTTTGTTTTCCAACTTACAGTAGCCCGGCAGAGTATACTCTTCGAAGCATCAATCGGATCGGGAAAATTGGCTCGATGCTGCGCAATGGCCTTGTCTCCAAGTGCACCTCCCACCACACGAACACGAGCCAGCTTACGCCTGAAATGACCAAAGCAGAGATGATCTCTGGACTCCCCCAAGCGAACGTCTCTGAGCCGGCTTGCTGGACAGCGAACACCAGAAAGCCTGAACTGGTAAGAAGGGTTGCGCTTCCGAGGAAATCGATGCTGGTGAAAGCCTTCCATGAGAAGAAGTGTGCCACTTCTTCGTGCGGCCAGAGGTTTGTAATTGTGAGGATCGCAACCAAGCCGAAAGGGATGCTGACGTCGTCAGTATTTCTTTAAGTATGTACCAGAATACTTACTTCATGTTGAACAACCACCTCCAGTCTGAAAGCTGAGAAACCGCACCGCCGATGATGGGACCCAGTACAAAGGCGACGGCGAGGGTAACACCAATCAAAGCCCCTATCAAACTGGGACTGTGAGAAGGTCCAACCTCTACCAGGCCGATCTGTGTTAAGCTGTACAGACCAGATGCACCCATGCCTTGGAAAGCGCGGCATACGATCCTGAAAGGGGTCAGCTTGAGAACAGAGTACAGAGTAGGCGGCATACAAAGCTGTCATACTAGTTGCCGATCCACAGCCCTGCGAGAAACCAACGAAAATGACCCATGATACCACGAGTATGTTGCGCCGTCCATAGATGTCACTCAATTTGGACACACAGACAGCGAATCCTGTTGCATCTTGTCAAAGGATGTTCTCTCGGTTCACGATCTTGAGGGAGACTCACCCATGTATGTCAGGAGGTATGCTAGAACTATCCAAGGGGCGTTTGTGAAGTCGTCAAGGTCGTGCGAGATGGTGACGAGCGAAGTCGAGACGATGGAAGTGTCAAGGCTCGAAAAGAGCAGCCCAGCCAACAACCTGAATATGTCAATTAGCAAGTTCCATATGTCAACGTAATAACTCCCTTACGAGATGACAAGAACTACTCGTCGAGGCCCAGTGATTGAATGCTTACGCAATCCGATGATCTCTGTCGCCATTGGAGCATTCTCTTCTAAGTCATTCTCCGTCACTGCTATTTGGCCCAGGGAAGGGTTTGGATAGGAGAGAGACATTCGATATTCGTTGGCCATCTTTGCTATCGATCTTTTCCCACACTCGAAATGTTCCGATGCAATTTCTTGGAAGCGCTTGAGAGCTTCAAGATAGACTTGGATCCGATGTCAAAGTTGAAGTTGAAGGGTCAAGATTGGTAATGTGGATAAGTGATAGTGCAGCTAAAGGCCTAGAGAGTTTCCTCGAGTGAAGGCGCGGCCTCCGGTCTTGACAAAGTAGGAACCCTTCGATTTTGGTAAGTTCCCTGCAGAGAAAAGAACGAGATAATCTGTCGGTAAGGTTGGTACTATGGATTTCAAAGATCTTTAGTTGTATCCGATTGGAAAAGCTTGGAGCTTTTCATATCGAGTCGCTCCGCAGAAAATATGTAGGCAAAGAGACAACACACCTGGCTTGGAACATAATACTCTTGAAACATTCATACAACTTGGTAACTATCTTGCCGGAGAAGGCGAAGGACCGAATT